AACAAGATCTCTCATTGCCCCAGGCAGCTCTCAGACCAGAAGTGATAGAGTATCCAATCCACAAGTTGTAGTTGTTGTTAGAGGACTGATGAGGTCAGAAGGGTGATGTCTTGACTTGCAAGTGAATTGGATTTAAGTGAGGCAAGGCCTTGCAAAGTCAACAGCCTTACTCCCTCCTCCAGAGTCATTGGAGTCCAGTGGCAAGACACAGGTCAGGAGGACTGGCAATAGCCTGGATGCAGTGGGAGCTAAGGTCTTTCCCAGGTCTCAGTTTGTCTGAGGTCACATCCATGGAGAGTTTCCACAAAGGACCTTCCTCATATTGATGAAATCTCAGTAGTGTGGACCCTGAGAACTGTTCTGAGGAACAGCAGAATTACCTTCATCCAAGTCTTCCCCATGACATGGAAATGACTGACCCTGGGCTCTCAAAGAGTAGGCCAAAGGAGCATAAACTCTGTTGGGTCCTACCAAGCTAGACAGGTTCAGAGGATGGGTCCAGTGATGGCAGGACCAACCTGGCTAAGTCTGGAAAAGCCGATCACCCAGCCAAGAAGTCATGGCCATTCAACTAGAGAAACCAGCTACTGAGTCATGGAGGGGTTGAAAACTGTGTCAGTGGAGGGAGCATCTAATCTGAAAAAATCATGGCTCTTACGATGGACTGAAGTGATCTGATAATACAATGATATGATAATGATAATATAAAAGACATGATATAACAGGACAGAACACAATACAATAAATCTAACATGATAGGATATATCTCATGATTCTCTTAGCACTTTGAAGTGTACAAAGCTTCTGACTTATATCAATCCTGAAAGTAGGTAGTGCAACTAGGTGGATCAAGAGTTAAGAGCAATAGGCTTGAACCAAGGAAGATCTGAGTTCAAATTTTGACTGAGATACTTCTTAGTTATGTGACCCAGGGCAAGTTACTTACCCTCAGCCTTGGTTTCTTTTTTTGTAAAATGGGCTTTATAACAACAACAACCTTACAGGATTTTTGTGAGGAGCAAATGTGAAAACATAAGTAAAGAGCTTTACCAGCCTTTGATTACTTCCTTTCTACTGTGACAGCAGGGCCTGAACCCTGCTCCCTGGAGGCCTCCCTGTTTTGACAGGGAAGCTATCAAGATGGTAACAGGGTTGGAGGCAGCTAGGTGGCACAGTGGATAGAGCACCAGCCCTGAATTCAGGAGGACCTGAGTTCAAATCTGGCCTCAGACATATAACATTTAACTAGCTGTGTGACCCTGGGCAAGTCACTTAACCCCATTGCCTAGCCAAAAAAAAAAAGATGGTGACAGGGCAATTAATGATAATGATCATAATAGCCAGCTTGCAAAGCATTTTTTACAAATGCATCATTTTATCCTCACTGCTGATAATATCAACCCCATTTTATATATGAGGAAACTGAAGCGGGCCAAAGTTAAGTGACTCACCCAAGGTCACCAAGCTAGTAAGTGTCTGAGGCTGGATTTGAATTTAGGTCTGCCTGAAGCTAAGTCCAATGTGTTCTTTATCAACTGAATTACCTAGCTGCCTACATTTTTGGAAGCCCAAGGCTAAGGTGGGTGGGGAGAAAATTAGCCATGGTCTCTTAGATTACAAGTTTTCCCTCATTCCAGATGTAAGCAAGAATGAGGAATAGCCTAGCTCACATGGTGACAACCTCTGTGCTTGAGACTGCTGAAGACTACAGCTATTTACATATCATGAATAGAATGTGTAAATAACTCTTTGAGACCTATAGGCAGGCCTGTTCAGATATTTTTCAGTCATGTCTGACTCTTTGTGACCCCATGTGGGCTTTTCTTGGCAAAGATATTGGAGTGGTTTGCCATTTCCTTCTCCAGCTCATTTAAAGAAGAGGAAACTGAGGCAAACAGGGCTAAGTGACTTGCCCAGGGTCACACAGCTAGTAAGTGTCTGAGGCTGGATTTGAACTTAGGAAGATGCTAATTCCAAGCCCAGGGCTCTATGCACTGCACCACCTAGGTACCACAGGCAGGGCTACAGGACTCTAAGGATATTCAGATGTAAGTCATTCAGAAATCTTACAAGACAGAAAGGCTCGTTTGCTATATTTTAAGGTAAATTTGGTGCCTGTCAGTAAAATTTTTAATAAGTCATGATGTGAGCTTTGTAATCCTTGCCCCTTAATGATTAATTTTTCTTTTGTGGACTTGACCTCTGATTCCATTGACATAGAGAACTCCCAGTAAGGAAATTCAGGTCATCAAAGCAGCAAGCTCCTGTTCTTCAACTTACGGTGAAGAAGCTTCCTGGGGATGTATAGAGGTAAGTGACTTGGCCAAGGTCACCCAGCTAGCATGTGTTGGGACAGGTCTTTGGGACTCCAAGGGCAGTTCTCTATCAATCCCACTACACCCACTCACATTTACACATCACTTGAAAGTTGCCAGCGTCTGGCACATGTGGTATTTAAGGTTTTCATTACAATGCAATAATCCTATGAGGTATGTAGCACAAGTATTGTTACTCCCATTTTATAGATGAGGAAAGAGAGGCTCATAGTTACACAGAGCGGTCTCATTGAATAGCTGGGGTGCTGTAGATAACGTCCCTTCAATCAGTCCACAATCATTTATTAAGCACACATTCTGGGGGCTAGAAGGAAAAAAAAATGAAACAGTATCTGTTCTGAAGCTTACATTAAACAGAGATATCCCAGTTACTACAAGATAAAGACAAGATACAAATTTGTCAAGATTACAAATTGTAGCTTTAAATCCAAGGCCGTCCTTAGTTAAGAAAACTTTGCCTTCCCTCCACACAATCCTATGAGATTAAAGCAGGCAATACTTTTAGGAAAGGCGATGACAGTTCCATGGTGAAATGTAAATAATACCACATCAAAACATGTTCTCTTTGTGTCAGGATCTGGAATTAGTAAGGTTGGGGGTGGGGCAGGGAAGGGGAGATGGCATCCCATACTAGGTCCTGCATGGAAACTGGTCTGGCCTCTGATTGATGTCCTGCTGACCTTGCCCTCTCTATCCCTGCTTCCCCAAGCTTAGGTAAGAAGAGCTCCCTCATTTCACAGCTCATAGGATGTAAGGCTAGGATGGGGGGGGGGGGGAAGGCGTCTAGTCCAGCTTCCTCTTACTGGTCCTAACATCCCAGGACTTGGGCAGGAAGAAACCTTAAGATAATAAGAGCTCATATTTAAATAGGGCCTTTCCACACATTATCTCATTTGATTGGCACGGCACATTATCTCACGACAATCTGGAGATGTAGGTGCTATTATTACCCCCATTTTACAGATCAGAAAACTGAGGCTCCAAGCTGCTCAGAGTTACCCAGCTAGTGTCTCTCTGTGGCTAGATTCAAATCCATCGCTTCCTGCCTCCAAGAGGAGCGTTCTAAACCAAGCTGCTTTTCTGAGATCCCCTATTTACGATACAGCCCCATCAGCCCTAGGAAACTGAAGCTAAGATGTATGGAGTGAGACAGCAGGTGCTTAATACAAGCTTCTAGTTCCATTCTTTCTGCTTGTAGCTCCCTTCCCCTCCCCCCCTCAGTGCCTGGCACACAGAGTTTGTGCTTAACAAATGCTTGTGGATTAATTGATTGATTGCTGATTGAGATTGCTAGGCAGATCAGGAGAACGCTAAGCTTTCCTATGACCGGAGCCCTGTTATTTGAGCAACCACACTCCTCTCCCAGCTGCCAGCGAAGCCGACTTTTTAAACTCGAGCCGCTAAGGCGTTTGCCCGCCGGGCGCCGGTGCCAGACTCCGAGGGGCTTCCTCCAGCACACGGGCTTCGGGAGCTGACACCGAGCCTTAAGAAGTAGCCACCACGGGCTTCGGACTCGTGACCAAGCAGACTTTAGAACCCCGATGTCGGCAGCTCTTAGAACTCAGTATCAGTAACAGCGAGCTTGACAACGTTGGGACAGAGAGCTTTAGAACGTTGAAACACGAACGTTGACAATGAGTTGTAGAATGTTGAGCCAGGTAACTTTGGGATTATGACAAGGACATTGAAACAGGTACCTTTGGGATTAGCGTAAAGACATTGAAACAGGTAATTTTGGCATTATAAGGACGTACCTTTGGGGTTAGGATAAGGACATTGAAACAGGTGACTTTGGGATTATAAAGACATTGAAAGAGATACCTTTGGGATTATAAGGACATTGAAACAGGTAATTTGGGGATTATAAGGACGTTGAAACAGGTACCTTTGGGATTATAAGGACATTGAAACAGGCGACTTTGGGATTATAAAGACATTGAAACAGATACCTTTGGGATTATAAGGACATTGAAACAGGTAATTTTGGGATTATAAGGACATTGAAACAGGTACCTTTGGATTATAAGGACATTGAAACAGGTAATTTTGGGATTATAAGGACATTGAAACAGGTAATTTTGGGTTTATAGGAATTGAACAGGTAATTTGGATTATAAGGATATTGAAACAGGTACCTTTGGGATTATAAGGACATTGAAACAGGTACCTTTGGGATTATAAGGACATTGAAACAGGTACCTTTGGGATTATGCCATAAGGAGGTTTAAGAATGCTGAGAGTGATTTTTAGAACATTGAGGCAGCGAGCTCTAACATGAGACAGTTAACTTTAGGATTATGATAAGGACGTTGAAACAGGTAACGAGGTTTATGATACAAGGAAGTTCAGTAACTTTAGCAGGTAACTTTAGGATTATGCTAGAAGGAGGTTTGGACGTTGAGATAGTGACTTTTAGAACGTAGAGACAGTGTAGGACAGGTAATTTAAAGCAGCTTAGGACTCGGAAACCAGTTTGGAAGGCGGCCCCGGGGAAGCTTAAAGCTCGGACTCGGCGGGGTCCAGACGCGGGACAGAGGGAATTTAGACGCGGGATGCAGGGCGTTCTGCGGGCGTTCCTGAAAGGCTGGAGGAGAGCCCCGGAGGGTCCCGCCGGCCGCGGGTTGCCCCCCTAGCCCGCCGCCCCCGGGCCCCGGGCGCACTCACCCATGCGGTGCCGCTGCGCACTTCTTTCAGGGTTCGAAAGGTGCAGGGCGAGGCGGCACGGTAGTTGAAGTAGTGCAGGGCGGCCCGGGCGGCCTGATGGAACACGGGACTGGAGGGTTCCACGTCCAGCCGCCGCCACAGCTGCTGGCGCTCCGGCTCGAGCGTTCGCCAGAGGCCCGAGAAGGCCTGAGTCACCGCGGGCAGCAGCACCACGAGCAGTACCGCCGTAGGACCGGCCCAGCCGGGCAGCCGCTGTTGGCGGGCGAGCATGACAGCGGGGGGCGGGTGGGGGCTTACGGGGGCGGAGGCGACTGAAACCTCTGCTACCAGGGACCCACGGCTCTGAGCCGGGCGCCGTCCAGCGCGGGCACAAATAGGGGCTTGCGGCCCCTCCCCCCCCCCGGGGCTGGGACGGCCTCCAGCCCCCGCCCGAAGGCTCCGGGACTCCCTTTCCGGCCAATACCCGGTCTTCGCCCGCTTCTCCTGGGCTCCGTCCGCCTCTCCTCCACTCCCTTGGCGCGCTCACCCCTCCTTTTTCTTCCTCCTCTCTGTCCTCCCGCGCCGAGGTCCCCGCGGAGCTAACCACCAGCTCACCCGCCTTCTCTCCTGTTTCCTCCCCCGCTTCGCTTCTGGCTCCAGCTTCCTTGGCTCGGCTCAGTGCCGGGAAGGAACGGCGCCTCTAGGGCTCTGGGGGCCGTAGTCTCTGCCCCGGCTTCTGGTGGGAACGACCAAGGGCCGGCCGGCCGGGCGCCCGTGGGTGCTGCGTGACTGCCCAACAACAGCCGCGGATCCCCTACTGCGCGGGTCTTACCCAGGAGCCGGGACTGGCCCCGGTGGCAAAGACTCTGCCTCCCCGGCCCCCAACCCTGCATCCCGAGACCACCTTTTTGTCCCATTTGTAGCTCCCTTCACTTCCAAGACGAAATCACTGACCCTAGCTGCAAAAAGCCTGGGAGATTTGTGAAGGTTCTAAGGCCAGGGAGAAGGCTCCTTTTTTAAGGTCTGAAGAATCGTGGCACTTTGGAGCCCGACAGGGACAATAGAGGCAATCCCGTTTGACCCCTTCATTTTGCACATAAGGAAACTGAGGCCTAGAGAAGGTGGAGGGAGCCAGGAAAACGGCCACTGAGAACAGAAAGATTTTCCCGGAGGGTGTCGTAAGGTAGCGATCCTGTGACTCTGAGAACTTTGCATCCTCTTGCCTTTCTCACTTCTCAATCTCTTTGCTTTCTGGCTTCCTGCCCCATCACTCGGAAGGAGCCCCTTTCTGCAAAGTCTCCTAGCGGTCTCTTTCCTTCTAACTGACTGCCTTTTCTGTGTTCTCGCTTTTCTTGCTCTTTCGGCACTTTGACACAGTTACCTTCCCCTCCGTCTGGATATGATCGCCTCTCTGGGTAGCTAGAAGATGCTACGATTCTTTAGACCTTAAAAAGGGCGTCCTCTGACCGGCCTTAGATTCTTCGAGAGTCTGTCCCCGGATTATTCGACCATCACCACTATGAAGACGACTCTCAAATCACGCACCCAGCCCTAAACCAGCCTGCCTTCTCCTACCTTCCTTATTTCTGTCTAGGATATCACCATTTTCAGGTCATCCAGGTTTACAACCTGGGAGTTATCTGAGCGGCTTTCTTGAGAAAGTCTTCCCCTGTCTCATTACAATACTGCCTTCAGCTTCAAGACTGTGACAAAGTAGAGGAGAAAAGCTGGCTGATAACACAGCAATTTTAACACCGGGAACATTTAGCAGAGCCGTTCTCTCAAATAAACTTGTAAAAGATAAATTCAGTTGAGAGGGGCAGGGAACACCCGATTCCATATGGAGCTGAGATAGAGACCAGGGTTATACCACAGAGGTCTCAGAACATTGAAAGAAGGTAGGAAAGGGGGCAGGGTGGGTGGGAGTCCTTGAAGGAACTCCTCAAAGATTTGGCCCAAGGGGAGCAACTCTCCAATTTTAACTAACTATTCTTGCTCAGTTGTTTGAATGCTGTTAAAGAAGTGTAAGCAATCTCAGTCCCCCCTCCCGCAACTGGGATGCCTAGAGGGTAAAGCCCTGACCCTCTAAACCTAGCAAAAACTCAGAAACACTGATTAGACTAAAATATCTTGGGAAATCAGTGTGGAGTAAGGATGGGGTAAGGTTGCATGATGCCAAACAGAGCAAGAGAATAATTTGATTCAGTACAATTCAACAAATCTATTTTGTGCTAGCTGTTGGTTACACAGAGATGAAATAAGATGCAGCCTCTCCCCTCAAGGAGTTTGGAGGTGGGGGAGTGTGACTTCTGCAATACACTTATGGCATAAGGCAATGAGAGGAAAGGAGAAATTAAGATGGGATACTCTTGGACAATTTGAGAAGTTGAATGATTTCCCACTGGTGGGGGTTCAGAGTAGTCTTCATGGAGCAGGTAGTACCCGAGATGGGCCTTGCAGGTAGGGAAGGATTTAAACAGGTGAAGATGAAGTGTCTTTCATCTATCAGGGACAGTGTGTATGAAGGTCTGGAAGAGGTGGGAAAGTAGAGGAGAAGGCAATGGAATGGCTGCAGTCTAATAGTCCAGTTTGACTGGAAGAGCTGATAGCAGACTGGAGGGAGCCAGGACAGGAGGCGTGTGTTGTAGTCAGACTGTGGAGGACCTTAAATACCTTGCCCAGTTTGGGTTTATCCTAGATCAATAGGGAGCCAAGGAAGTTTCCTGAGCAGGAGAGTGACACAAATAGATCTGTGCATTAGGATGATTATTTTGTTGGAAGTATGAAGGCCAGCTAGATAGATCGATAGGTATTTAGTAAGAGTTTACTACATGCCTAACAATGTGCTGGGGATACAGATACAAGCTAGCAAGACAGTCCCTACCCTCAAAGAGCTTACATTCTAATGGGAAAAGACAAACCATAAAGGGGAGATGAAAAGCCAGGCTAGACAGACAAAGGGACAGACTGGACACAGAGAGGCCAGTTAAGAGGCAAATGTGGTCTGGGTTATAGGTTCTAAGGGTCTCTACTAGTGTTACTGGACAGGAAAGAAGACATGGAAGAGATCTGGTGAAGGCAGAAGCAGAGGGTCTTGGCAATTATTTGGCTATAGAGGTTGAAAGGGGGCAGCTTGGTGGCACCATGGTGTGCCATAGAGAGAGCAGGGCCAGAAGTCAGGATGAGTTCAAATCAGACACTTACTATCTGTGAGACCCTGGACAAGTCATTGAACCCTGTTTGCCTCAGTGTTCTCATCTGTAAAGTGAGCTGGAGAAGGAAATGGCAAACCACTCCAGTATCTTTGCCAAGAAAACCCCAAATGGGGTCATGAAGAGTCAGACACAACTGAAAGAACTCAACAACAAAGAGAGTGAGAGAAACAGAAGAATAGATGGTAAGATTGCCAGCCTGGGTGATTGGCAGGTGCCATGAATAAAAATAGGAAAATCAGGGGATGGGTAAAGAAAAGATGAGAAGTTTGGTGGGGGAAATGTTGCCTTTTCCACATTAGAGCAACATGCAGTTTGGTTCAGGGGAAAGAATACTGAATTTGGAGTCAGAGGACCTGAGTTCAGATCTTGGCTCTTCAATTTACTAGTTTGATGACCTTAGGAAAGTCACCAAACCTGGACTGTAGTCCCAGTTTCTCCAATTTTAAAATGAGGGGATTGGACCAATTGATGATCTAAAGTCCCTTCTAGCTCTGAATCCATAATCCCATGAGATATCTAGGAGGCAGCTGGAAGTGTCAGTCTGAAGCCTAGGGGAGAAACTGAGACTAAAACATAGACTTGGAAATCATCTGCATATAAAGTTGACGCTTGAAGCTATGGTAGTGGTTAAGAATACCAAGGGAGAGACTGTAGAAAGGGAAGGGGACAGGGTCAGCTCCAAAGGCTTAGTAGATGCCCACATTTAGAGGGTAGCAGCCAGGGGAGGAGAATCAACCAGGAACAGAGATTGATAAGGACTGGTCAGACTAGTAGGATGGGCCGTGCAAGCAAAGGGAGGAGGGAGTGTTTAAGGGAGGAAGTGTTTAAGGGAGGGAGCAGATCAACAGTGCCAAGAGAAGGAGCAAGGGGCCATTCATTGGCCTAGGCAGTTAAAATATCACTGACCAGGGAGGGGGCAATTTCAGTCCAGTGGAAGGGTGTGGTCTGGTTAAAAAAGTGAGAGGATAGTGATGAAGTAGAGGCAATTACTCTTTTTTGGAGTTTGGTAAAGCATGACTTGGGTGAATCTATGCTAATCATGAGCATTAAAAATGTAACCGAATAGGATCTATTCTAGAAGTGATGTTTTGTTGGATTACGGCAGCAGCAGAAAAAAAAAATACTGACTCTGAAGTCAGAGTATTAGCTTCTGACCATTGCTACCTATGTGACCTTGGACAAGTAATTTAATTTCCCTGGACTTCAGTTTCCTCAAGTGTAAAACGGTGGGGTTGGATGAGGTGACCTCTGAGGTCCCTTTCCAAGGCTTAATTTATGGTCCTATTAGCATCATGGGCCCTAGTGCCAAGGAGAAGCCTCGGAGTTGAGAAGATGTGGGTCAGTCTCACCTCTGACAATTCCTAGGCAAGAAGCCTTGAGCAATTCTCTAAGGCTCTGACTGAGAAGATGACTAGTAATCTGCCTGGGGGAGGGAATTCCTACCTGATGAAATCACAAGGAGTACTTTCCCCTCAACAGCCAGGACAGGGTAGGTAATATATATGTTTTTAATCCAATTTTTTTAGATAAGGAAACAGACTCAGAGGGAAGTGACATGGGGCAATCTTAGGTAATGTGGCATTCTTTAAATGGAAGAAAGTAGAAGCATGTATTCCAGTCCTTGAGGCACTATGACATATGGCTAGAGAGCTGCCTCAAAGCCCAAGAACCTGATTCAGATCTTGTCTCTACTTGACATCTATTGACTGGGTGATGCTGGCAAGTCACCTGACTCCTCGGTCCTGTGGGGGATTCTCTGAGATTATACAGTAGAGAGAAGGTATTGACCTTCATTGGTAGAGGGACTTTCCTCACTTGGGGGTCCTCTATACCAATGAAATCATAGAGTTACTAGCCATATTAAATCCTTAATATAAACTGAAAAATGGGGAAAATAAATTAAGTGCACAGACATGACAAAAATTATATATCAGGATTAATTTATTATTAACCTACTTTCTTTGCCCTGATTCAGATAGCTACATAGAATCTTGGAATACAGGGACTATCTCTGTGTGTTCCAAATGGAGAATGTGAGTTCACACTGGACCCAAGTGGACTGGCCCATCTTACTTTCTGGAGTTGGGAGGGGGGAGGTGTCTGTCTGTCCATCTATCTGTCTGCCTACCTGTCTATCATTTATCTATCATCTATCCAACTTTATATCATCTACCATCTGTCTATCATGAATCTATCTACCTAACTTTAGCATCTATAATCTATTTATCTATCATTATTCTTTGCAAGTCTCTAGATCTCTTCTGAAAAGACTAATTTTGGAGAAGAACAAGTTTAGGGAAAAATGCTAATATGAGAACAATGAGTGAACATTCATGTTATGCTTAGTTCAGACTTTGCCAAGTGCTTCCTCTGCATTATCTGCCTTGATCATCTGAATTCAGTCTTGGTCTTTTAAGTTCTGAGGTGCCAGCAGGCCATCCAGGGTCCAGAGGGGCAAGTAAGAAGATACCCACAATGGTCAGAGGCGGTGTGGGAAAAGAAATCAGTACTGTATTTAGAGACAGAGGACCTGGGTTCAAACACCAATGCTGCCACTGCTCATCTGCCTAACCTTGGGTGAATTAGTTAATGTCATTGGCCTCAGTTTCCTCATATGTAAAATATGGGGGTTGGGTTTGAGATGGCCTCTAAGGTTCAATGGTGTTATGTTCAAGGCACTCAGTGAGGCCCTGGGGATACACAGTCCCAGAGGAAGTCCTTACAATCATGGAGCTAACAGTCTCTTGGCAGGACACAACACATTATGCAAAGAGGTGGAATATGAGGAAAATTGAGCAGGGAGAGAGCATTAGCAATCTGAGGGGAATCAGGGAAGGTTTCATGGAGAAGGCAGCTCTCAAACCCAGCCTTGAGGGCAGATAAGAATTCTCAAAGGCAGGAGATATATCATCATCATCATCATCATCAACTGCTGAGTCTCTAGTGCCTTAAGATTTACAAAGCTTTTGGAATTTATTATCCATCTAAGTCTCACTCTATCCTATAAAATAGGTGCTACTATTGTTCCCATTTATAGATGAGCAACCTGAGGCTAACAGACATTCAATGACGTAGCCAGGGTCTCATAGCTTATAAGTGGATGAAGTGGGATTTGAACTCAGGTCTTAAAATCATGGGGTTTTAGATTTAGTTAGAAAGGACCTTAGAGGTCATCAGGTCCAACTCTTTTCATCTTACAGATGAAGAAATTGAGGCCCAGAGAAGTTAAGTGACTTACCCAGGGCCCCACAAGCCCTGTGTCTAAAATGGGATTTGAACCTAGGTCTACCTGAAAGCTAATCCACTGCCCTGAAGGGAGTAGTAATTTTGGGCATGGGAGAACTGGATTGAGTCTAGAAAGAGATGTCTAATAAGCAGATGGAAATTCAGGAAAATGTTTTCTTTCTGTTACCCTCTTTCCTGCTATAGGCAGGAAGCATAACATCTAAAGAGCCAAGAATTGATTAGCAAATGCAAGAGCGTGGGCCGGTGAGGTGGTCTTTATCTGAGCTGGTCTGGAAAAATAAACACCACTTAGAAAATGTGGTTCATCTGCTTTAAATATGATCAATTTTTCTTTTCTGTTCAGAGATGGTTTTGCTAAGGGTGGCCACTATCCTGAGGAAGGGAGGGTATGCCGCTTTCAGACTTTGGTAAGTTTGTAAGAACTGAGCTGGGGCAAATCTAGAGACAATGAGATGTGAGGTGAGTCCCTTTCAGACTGAACAGTCACCTCCTAGAGGCTGTGAGCTCCATTTAGATTTTTATTTATTTACTTATTTTTTGCTTTGTGGTGAGGTGATCTCGACTTACCCAAGGTCACACAGCTAGTAAGCGTTAAGTGTCTGAGGCTGGATTTGAACTCAGGTCCTCCTGACTCCAAGGCCAGAACTCTATTCACTGTGCCACCTAGCTGCTCCTAGCTCCTTTTAGATTTGAGGGGATTGTTTTGCACCTTACAAAGGTGCAAACTCTGAATTTATTCATTTGAACCTTGTAAAGGATATGAGGCTTTGAGTAGCTTATTTGCCCATGGCAGAGCCAGAAAAGCAGCTCAATTAGCCTTGTCCCCAGACCTTGGAATGCTTCTAGAGCATTTCCCTACCTCTTATTTGCATGGACCAACAGGAGAGATTTAAGAGTCTGTTTGCTTGTGTGTTTGTGTGTTTTTTAACTGCAAAATCCTGAATTCCGGAGGCATTTTTTTTTATTGGACAAATGACCATTGCCTGGTTGTGACTAGTCTGTAGAGTTGAAGATTTAGAGCATGTGAAGAGATGGTCATCGCCAATCAGGAGGAGGCCTCTTACTAAAGAAACTATAGGAGGAAATGTTGTGATAGGAAAGGTGTTGCCTCAGGGCACTGAAGTTGTCGGCATGAGATTTTGTTCTCTGCTCTCCCACCTGAGAAGTGGCAGTGCTCAGAAATAAAACCCTGAGGGAAAAGAACTGGTGAGGCGTCTGTCAATCCTAGGGAAAGGGTCTCTGCTCTTTGTGAAAAAGCAAGTCAAGATGGCAACTGAGGATTGCAGCTAAACTGAAAGCTGGAGGTGGAGATTAGAACTACCCAGTGAGGAGCAAGCCTGGGTGGTCCAGGGGAGGCCATTGTGGAACCACCCAGATACCATAGGAAGAGGAACTCTGCAGCAGTAGCGACGTGAGTTGGCTATGTTTTCCTTCAGTACGTGTCTCTTTTCTAGTGAGCTCTGTCTCCGTACTTGCTTACTCTTCCCACTGATGCTGTGTGTATTTGTGGGAGAGGATGCCCTAGGTTTCCGAGGGAATTTTGTTGTTATGCTTTTACTCTGCAATCTCTGTGAATGCCTTTGCTTCAGCTAATCGTGTGAACTGGCTTACTATTAAAGGTAAACACACTAGCAGGGGCTTATGAGTTACAGCTTTTGGAGTACAGACCCACAGAGATCCCTGAACCCTGAGTACCCGTTTTGGGACCATGAATTGGTAGGAGATAGGCTACAGGGTGTGCTACTAGGGTTTGGCTCAGACAATTATGGGGATGATCATCAATATTTCCCAAAATTGCCATGGGCAATGTTTTCCTGCCTGCCACAGAGGAATCGATGGAAGGCTTCATGAAAGCCCATTAGATGATAAACTCCTTGAGGGCAGGGACTGTCTGCCTCTTTTTGTATCCTCAGTGCTTAGTACAGTGCCTGGCACATAGTAGGTGCTTAAGAAATGTTTATTGATGATGATGATGATGATGATGATGATGATGATGATGATGATGATGAAAGAAGAGGACTTATGAGTTGGGTCTTGAAGGAAGAAAATATAATAACATATATCAATATGTATATACATACATAATATACTTAATATATACTATGTATAAAATGTAACAAAAGAGTTTGCAACAGACTCAATGCTCATGACGTCTCCTCCTTCTGAGCCTTTGCACAGGTTGTCCCGCATGCCCAGAATTCTCCCCTTCCTCACTTCTGTCTCATCTCCAACTCTGTTTAAACCAGGCTCAGTCTAAGGGTTCCTTCCTCCCTGAAGCCTTCTCTGATTCTCCCCATCCATTGTTCCTCCACCTCACGTTGCTTGCCAAAGTTATTTTGTATTTACTTTGTCTTACTGAGCCGCTGCTTCCCCTCAGCAGATTGCGAGACTTTGTATCTGTTGTACTTTAAGCAGTAGCAGCTGCCGATGGCCGTATCCCTTCATTTCTGGTCAATTCAGTTTGAAAAGCTTTGATTAATCTCCTTTGTTATTTCAATTATGTGCGACTGTGACCCCATTTGGGGTTTTCCTAGCAAAGATACTGGAGTGGTTTGTTATTTCTTTCTCCATCTCATTTTACAGATGAGGAAACTGAGGTAAACAGGGATAAATGACTTGCCAAGGGTCACACAGCTGGTAAATGTCTGAGGCTGCATTTGAACTCAGGAAGATGAGTCTTTCTGACTTCAGGTCTGGCATTTTATATAGTATGGCGCCACCTAGGTGCCTGATTAAGCACCTGCTTAAGTAGGGCAATTACCAGGCTTAGTTGGTAGGGAACTGACCTCAAAGTCCTGATTCTGCCTGATGCTGTGTGACCCTGAGCAAGTCACTTACTCTCAGTCCCCTAGGCAACTTTGTGAGACAATAAGGGGAGGAGAAGGTGAAGTTTCTCCAGGGGGCTTACTACACCCAGGCAATCACAGGTTGGATTCCTTACCTCCACTCTACCCCCTCACCCTGCACCCCCCAATATGCACAATGCTCTGCTGAGCCCCTAAGATTCACAGACAAAAGGAGAAACGCTTTTGCCCCTGGCATACACAGTGATATTAAGAGGCAGAAAGCACAAATATTGGGGTGTTCGGGGAAGATCAGAAAAGGCCTCCTGTATGGAAGGTTGACACCTTGGCTTTGAAGGAAGCTCAGAGCAGGTGTTTCCAAGATGTCTGATGGAGGCGACAGATGCAGTAAGCCAAGGCTCAGAACGCAGCAGGGTTGATACTGACAGTATTCAGACTTCCCTGGCACCAGGCAGAGATCATTTCCATTAGCCACAGTTCGGCCTTAAAAGAGAGATAAGGGACTTCACTAATGCCCCTCCCTCTCTTCTCCATGAGCTCCATGACTCAGAGAACTGAATTAGGGGAATTAGCAAAAGGCATAGGAGACATCCTAACTGTGCAGCCCAGTTTCTTGCAGTTATTATTGGGAATGAGGCATGTATATAAAATATGGCACCCTAACTTAAATAAGAGCATGAAATAACCCTGTCTATGACCATAAATGATAGTTATTAACTGTGTGAAATGTCTTGGCAATGCCCAAGGGGATGTGCTTTAAATGACAATATTCCACACAAACTTTTAATGTGAAATTCCCAACATACTCACACTCACACATACTCACATACACTTTATGGACTTCATAATAAAATTAGGCTGGGTACAGAGATCATGGTGTACCAGAGAAAAACAGCTAAATCAAAAGGTTTTATCTTCAAAAGACAGAATATAGCTTTGCTCATTTCTGACTGGGTTGGGCTATTTTTCTGTTTTATATGTAGCAATGCATTGGTTTTTTTTCTTGCTTCTTGCTTTTTTTTTTTTCCTTCAAGCATCTCTTGCTTCTTTTTCTGAGAAAGTTGTTGCTGTCCTATTTTGATAATCTTTCGTTTGGTTTCTGGGTCCCTGGGTCACTAGTGCTTAGAATCTCAATGTTTTTCTTTATCGTCCTACATGCAAAATTTTAGGAGGTTTTACTATTTTTTAAAGATTATATTGTTTTTAAAAGACAGTTTTTCTTCTTGCAAATGTTTTATGAGGTTGTATTTACTCATAATTACTAGCAGATTGTTTTGCAATGTAATGAAATGAATATGGTCAGTACCACATGTATTGAATTTTGCAACTTTTCTAAGTAAAGTTTGATTTTGACATCTCACAAGAGTTAGGAAAACAATGTCTTTATGACCACATTTGTGCATTTGGGGTAAAGCATGCCCAGGCTTTGTTCTTCTATCAATCACTATGGTCAGGGAATTTCCAAGAATGGATAAACACTCAGGTGCTTATCCATAAACGGAAACGCCCAACAAAGAACAACGGAAAACTTACTTCTTTTCCAGGAAAAATGTCTTTAAACAAGGGTTGGAAAAGTAGGGCTTAATTTTTCACTATTCGTGGTAGGGTCATGTTTATTCTAATAGAGAAGAAAGGATTTCTTTCTTTAAAAAATTATGAGAGAACTTTTAAAGAAATTATTTGGTAAAAGAAAGTCCAGTTTGGGCATTGTATTGCTTATTAAAGGGCAGCTGGGTGACAAAGTAGATAAAGCACTTGGCCTGGAGTCAGGAAGACCTGAGTTCAAATTTGACCACAGACACTTACTAGCTGTGTGACTCTGGGCAAGTCACTTCACCCTGCTTGCCTCAGTTTCCTCATTTGTAAAATGAATTAGAGAAGGAAATGGCAAGCCATGCCAATATCTCTGCCAAGAAAACTCCACATGGGGTCATGAAGAGCCAGACACATCTGAAATGATGGAACAACACCGCTTACTTACCAACTTAAACTTCGTGAAGACTTTGGGGACAGCCTAGATATTAAGACCATAGATTTGAAGCTGGGGGCAACTTATAAACCGTCTAGTACAACCTCCACATTTTACTGATGAAGAAACTAAGGCTGCTCCCCCCAGCCCCCAGGTAAGATGACTTGTCCAAGGTCACATAGACTAAGTGGCCGAGTCAGGGTTTGACCCCAAGTCCTCTGATTTAGGTTCTGGAGAGCACCCTTTCCCCGGAATCACATTGCTTCTCCAATTAATCAATCTGCAAGCATTTAAGCTCTTTCTGCATGACAGGCACTACTAACTACTGGTAACATGTGAAAATAATTCCTGCCTTCGAGGATTTTCCTGAGCCAGTCTCTAACCTGAGAATGACAAAACAACAGACCGGAGACAAAGTGCCAGTAATCAGGCAGCCCTTTAATTCATTAGCTTCATTGCGAGGACCAGTTTTGCAATTTGGGAATTCTCCTGATCAGAATTCCACCTTGCTGAAGTGAAGATGGATTTATATACATAAATCACAAGTGGGAAGGGGGAGGGGAAGGTGAATTACAAGCAACTGTTCCCATGGTTTCCTACGACAAACCCCCCAGTAGAAGACAATACAACAATTTTGGAGTTCTGTGGGAGCGACATTGCTTGAGTCCTTGGGGGTCATTACCTGGTGGGTCACAGGACCCAGAGTTCTGTGACGGGAACAGGTCCTACAGTCTTTGCTGCGCTTCACTTCACCTACGTAGGCACAAAGATGCCGGTGCTTGTGAGCCTTGCCAAGGTTTGATTGATCAACTCAAGTTGCATTGTGAGTCTGCCTCACAACCTGGAAAAGGCAATTCTGAAAGGTCTAATCTATGAGTATATTCGTTACGCATATCACATCAATTATCATAAAAGTCCCTCCAAATAACTTACATTTTAATGAGGGAAACACTCCGTGAATGATTAGGTATATACATAGAATAGACAGAAGGGAGAGATATTAGCAGCTGGGGGGACTGGGAAAGGCCTAGTACAGCTATTCAGTTGTATCCCACTCTTCATGACCCCATTTGGGGTTTTCTTGGCAAAAATACTGGAGTAGGTTGCCACTTCCTTCTCCAGCTCATTTTCCAGATGAGAAACAAGGCAAACAGAGGTAAGTGACTTGCCTAGGGTCACACAGCTAGTAGGTGTCTGAGGCCAGATTTGAACTCAAAGCAACCTTGTTTTTGAGATGTCAGAGACAATTCTTGTGCCCTATGCATTGGTAGTTCAAGAAGTATGCCATTAGTGATCTCGGAGCTTATAAAGATACAGACCTTTATTCTCCCTTCCTCTGGAAAGGAACTTTAGGGATCACCTAGTCTAACTCTTTCATTTTACAGATAGAGAAACTGAGACCCAGGAAATTAAGTGATGTGCCCACTGGCACCCAAATAGTAACAGAGGTAAGTTTTGAATTCTGCCACGTTTCCCCTCTTCCTTTCGAGGCTTTTGTTGATGCAATACACCCCCCCCACCCCACCCCCCCACCCCCAGCTTTATTTTGTTACTCAGGGACTATGAAAGCTCTTCTCATGATTGCTTCTCTGGAACCTTTGAGGGAGGTCACTGAATAATGCAGGCTGCACACACAGAGAAAGAATTTCTGGAGTTTTTTCATCCTGCAGAGAATCCTTTGAGCAGAGTTCAGCTGGTGCCATTCTCGGTCCCTGGCACGGGCTCCTGAATTCTCAAGTGTCACTGACTCCTGGAGTCCTGCTGTTAGAGCAATAGCTGTTGTTGCCTGGGGTCCCTCCTTTCTGAGGAAATGAGAGAGACAGAGACAGAGACAGAGAGAAACCAAGAGACAGAGAGAGAAAGAGACAGAGACAGAGACAGGAGAAAGAGACAGGAAAGAGAGAGACAGAGAGATAGGAGAGAGAGACAGGAGAGAGAGAGAGAGAGAGAGAGAGAGAGAGAGAGAGAGAGAGAGAGAGAGAGAGAGAGAGAGGAGAAGAGAGGAGAGGGGCAGTAATTTGAAGTGTTAGAAGGGTCGTTGCAAGGCAGAGGGGTCTAGGATCTCAGGTAACTGAGATCACACAAATAGTGTCAGAGTCGAGATTCAAATCTAGGTCCTCTGACTCCAAATGCAAGAATCATTCTGTTCGACATCACCCCGCCAGCTTCCCCAAAGAGCAAAAGTAGGAGGAAGGGTTTGAAAATTATGAAGAGGCAAATTTTGTCTTAACTCAGGAAAATCTTCTTGATGATGAGGAAAAAGTGGAGTTGGCAGCCCCAGCGGGTAGTGGCAGCTTCCCCCTTACTTGTGTGACAGTGACTACCTTGGTGCCCACGTCAGGAAGGCCAGGGATGTTACATTTCACCCCTCCCCCAGGTTCTCCAGTCCCCTTAAAGGGGTGTTGACTTTCAGCTCTTGGCTCTATTCCCTACCAATTGCGTTCCTCAATTTTTGAGGGTCTCTGGCGCCTCAGTTCCATTTAACCACTACACAGAAGAGCTTTTACAAAAGCTCTTTCAAGGATATAGACAGAACAAATATACAAACATCCATTCCAACATCGGGGTGGTAGGGGGCCCATAGTTCACCTCTCCACCACCTTAGTCTCAGGAGAGGGGAGGGGGAATAAGGTCCATATCTTAACTCAGTTTTAGATAAGAGTCCCATGTTTCAGGTCCAAAACCCCCTCTGGGTTCTAAGTCCCAGGCCTGGAATCCTGCCTCCAAAGTCACTATGGCTGTGTCTCAGGACTCTACCCCATTTGCCTAGAACTGAAAAAAGAAAAAAGAGAAGAAAAGCACCAGAGCAAAACTGTAAACTTGCTTCTTAGAGCCTTAGGGCTTAAACAGGAGAGGGGAGAAGGCAGTCCTTCCTCTGTAAACCTCAGTTTATGGTGCTTGTATTTGGGTGAGAAGAATGTTCACCCTCCCGCCACTCCAGGAAAGAAAATGACTCTTCCTGTCTGGAAATTTTAAAGATGCTGACAGTTTCACCTACATAGCAGTCAGAAAAGACTGCTCTCACCCCTGTAGTAGGAGAATTCAGAATGTCTGCTTCCAGAAGCAGGTCCCTGATGTCTCCCCTGTGGGTGCCTCCCTCTTGGATGATCCAGACAAATGTCAAAGACCTGTTATACTTTACATTCCTCTCCCAACCCTGTTCCTGGGTTCTGGTCTTCCAAACCATGTCGTCTCATCCTGTGGCTTCCCTTAGTACATAGCGCCTCCTTACCTGGGAATATCCGACCACCCCCGGTGCCTTCTCAACCTGTAACATCCTTCTGTAAGGCCTACCCTCTTCTCCCAGGGCCAAGTTATTCCTGGAGCCTCCACTTCGTGGAAGTGGTCTTCCTTCCCTTCCTGGTCCTGTTCCTGACTTCCAGACTTCATGCCCTCAAGCTTGGTAGCTACCTTTCCTTTTCCCCCCTTGACTTTATGTCTTGTCTTGTATTCCCCCATCAAATGAAAGCTCCTTGAGGGCAGGGACTATCTTTCTTTTTGCTTGTGTTTGTATCCCTAGCACTTAGCACATTGCCTGGCACATAGGAAACAACCAATGCTTGGTTTTCCCCTTTTTTCCATTAATGGAGGTCTTCAAATAGAAGCTGGATAGTCACTTAGCTGGTATATTGTCCAGCTGACTCTTTTGGGGTGTGGGCAAGGACCAGATGGCCGCCAAGGTCCCTTATGACTTTGACATTCTTTGGTACTGGCAAGGTGATGGTGTGCTTGGAAGTGCCATTCCTTTTCTTCAGAAAGGGATAAGGTCATATAATTGTGGAGTCAGAGGAAAGTTTGGCAGTAATCTCATTCAACCCCATCATTTTACAGATGAGGAAAGTGAAACTCAGAAAGATTCTGTTATTTATCCAAGGTCACCTAGGGAGCTGGTGTCATATCTAATTCTCAAAGTTACATCTACCAGTTCCTAATCTTGTGTTTTCTCCATCATCTCAAATACAAAAGAAACAAAAATCATTCAGGGAACATTTTGATGCATGTGACCACTGGTCATAGACCAGTGAGGAGATAGGGCAGGATAATTGTTTTTTGAAAAAAATCATTGTCTGTAAGCAAATAGCTCTTTAAAATTTTTCTTAATTGCTAAGAACACTCAGTAATATCTCCCACTCTGCCTCACAGCTAACACTTGCTTCATCTTGGCTTATGCTTTTGTAATTTTGTTTTTGTTCTTGGAACAGATGGCTCCGACTGAACATTCTTTCAGCAATAATGCTAATACCACCAAAGACTTGAGAAAAATCTTGCTCAATTCTTCCTCCCACCCTGTCTGCAATGATTTCCCTACGTGAGCTACCAAGAATAAAATATTAACCGTGACAACTTTTCCTTTTTGGATTTGTACATTATAGTCAAGTCACATTATCTACTGGTCTACTTCTTGGCAAATCCTGGAATCTTCAGGGGGTTCGAGAGAGTGGCTCTGGTTTTTTTTTAATTCATTTGTTGGCATCATCACCCCTTCTGTTTACTGTAATACTGCACAACTGAGGGCCAACTTTATAAACCCACATCTTTGTCGAGGAAAGATGTGAGACAGACATACTCCAAATAGATCTCTAAGGAAGAGCCAGTTGTACTCGGGCTCAGATGGTGTTTTGCAATCATTATAAATGTGTTCTTGTTTTTATCTAACATGTTGCAAAAAATTAGGAGTTAAACAGTAGTCAATATAACAGAGAAGATAGGCCAGCATTACTGTAGGAGAAGAAGGAGAGCTTGTATAGATATTCACACCAAGAGAGCATCCCAGTGTCCAGTCACAATGCCCAGGTCTTTTTTCACAGGAACCGCCATTAAACTGAAGGGAGCTCCATCCTATATTTATGTAGCTGTGGCACTGATACATTGATGTCATGGTTTCTACTTATCCTAATTACATTTCATCTTGTTTATTTCAGCTGGTTGTTCTATACTATTGGGATAACTTTCAATCTTAAGTATGTCTTTTACCCTCTTAATTACTCCTCTCAGTTTTGTGTCATTTGCAAATTTGATAAAAATATATTTTTCAAAATCTTCAACTAAGTCACTAAAAAAAGGCCACCACATAGTGCCCTGCAACAAAGACCTCCCACCAAGGTGATGATGGTTTATTCATCACCTCTCATGGAGTGCCATTGTCAGCTAAAAGTACATTTAATTTTACTATTTGGGCAAATCTGTACTCTTCCTGAGTTGGGAGGGGACCTAAGATATGGGACATACCTGTCCTATGACCACACTGCTGGGTCAGCAGAGGGCAAGGAACATGATTAGTGGCTCTAAAAGGCTTTGGGGAAAGGGTAGAACCCTTCATACTCCAACACTCCCTTCACAAGCTGCCCTCTGCCTGATGCTTTCAAACTCATTGGTATCTTCAGTGAAATGTATCGGACAGACCTGAACTGGTACTCCAGATGCGAGCAGGGTACAGAAGGACTGTCACCTAGGGTCCTGGACATTATGTCTCTTTTAAGGCTGGCTAAGATTGTTCATTTGGGGCTGTCATCTCACACTGTAGGATCCCAGGCCGCTAAAACCATTAGCTTTTTCGTTTTTCAGATAAACCATTTTTCTAAGAATGTCTTCCCCATCTTATGCATGTGAAGTTGATTTTGGAGCTCAAGTGAAGATTTTACATTTGTCCCCATTCTGTTTGATCTCATTCACTCTAACTCGAGATTCTAGCCCCTAAAGATCTTTTTGAATCCTGAATCGGTCACAAGATGTGATAAAATAACCCTTTGAGATTTGCATCCTCTGAAAATTGGATTTGTTGTTTAATTGTTTCAGTAGTATCTGACTCTCTGTGATTCCATTTGGGGTTTTCTTGGTAAAGATACTGGAGTGGTTTGATATTTCCTTATCCAACTCATTTTAAAGATAAGGAAACTGAGGCTTGCCCAGGGTCACACAGCTAGTAAGTGTCTGAGGCCAAATTTGAATTCAGGAAGATGAGTATTCCTGACTCCAGGCCTAGTACTCTATCCACTGTGCCACCTAGCTGATGGAAAATTGGATAAGCAGGCCATTTAGTAATTTATACAAATTATTTATAAAATTGTTTAATGACACAGGAAACCTACTTTCAAGTCAAATCAACAAGCATTTATTAAACATTTAGTATGTGCTACACTCTGGGAATGCAAACATAAGCATACAGAAAGGCAGTTTCCACCCTCAAGGAGCTTATATTCTAATGGAGGAAGATAATAAAGGGTATAGCCTGGAGAGGAATGAAAATGTAGGAGGCCTGAATGTCCTGTTTAAAATGGAGGCCAAGAGAGGAAGCTGTCCAACAGAGGCAAGGAGTGTTGGGGTAGAGGGCACCAATGGGTGAAGTCCAGGGGTAGAGTATGGTTCCAGGTGAAAAGGTTTCTGGGTCATGATAGAGAAAGTCTAGGAGGAGAGTCAGGAAAGAAGCCTGGGGAGGAACGATATTGAAGATGGATGTTGAACCATTAATGACTAATCTATTCAACAACTCTGTCTGTACCTAATTGCACTATTGTCTAGCTCAGACAAATGGTGCTTGAGGGACAAATCCATCCTAGTTTTTGTATGGCCTGGTGAGCTAAGAATGTTTTTTTTTATGTTTGAAAAGAAAGTTTCATTGTATTTGGATTGTAAAAAAGTAGGCTGTGGGTCAGATTTGACCCACAGGCCATAGTGTGCTAACCACTGGTCTAGCTCATGTCTTTTCCACAAAAATAACACGAGATGCTTTACGATATTCTTTGCTAAAATCTAGGTAAAATATATCTATGTTGTTTCCCTGATGTTTTGGTCTTAAAAAAAGGAAGCACATTTAGGGATGATTTGTTTTCAGTGAAGTCCTGGTGGCTCTCTGTGATCTCTGCCTTTTTTCCCCCAGCTCTTCACTGAGCATTCCTTTAATGATACAATCAAGACTTTTGGCAGGAGTTGAACTCAGTGGTTTGCAGATTCCATGTTCTTCCCTTTTTGCAAACCACAACATGTATCTTGGGTCAATGGCATTCTCTTGATCTACCATTTTAATAACCTTACAAAAATGATTTGGGGGTTATCAAGTCTGCATCTCCCCCACCCCCCTCAGTACTGATTGTTGAGAATTGTCCAGTTTGTGTTTTCTGAGTGGTTTTGAATTGTAGCATAGCTTGTATAAACTCTGAAGATACTTATTCTGACTCCTATTCACAATGATAGATCTAGTCTACCAGAGCATGACTGGTCATGTCTCATCCGCCTCAGGATTCTAGGGGTACCTCTGAGGTATTCAGGTAATGCTTCTCTAATGTTATTGACTTGAGCCCCCATTCTGATATACTCTCCCCCAAATCAATCACCAGTGCTTAGTACCGATGTCATTTAACCAATTAACATCAATTAGCCTTTACAAAGGTATAGCTACTGAAATCCAGCAAGAATAGAAGTAAGAACATTTTCCCACAGTAGTGGAGAGGGCACTCTCTTCTATAGTACCCTCGTCCCTGGGGAGAGCAGGCTCACATTTACAGCATTTATATTCTATAAACGTTTACCCCAGCCATGGAATCAGCAAAACTACTGGATGGTAGCATCCCTGCTAGCCCTGGGCTTGCTTTGATCCTCAAGGCTACATTAGTACCTCAGCTGGTTGCAAACTCTGACCTAGATTCTCATCACAGGTTCTGTGGTGGCTCAGTCTCTTGAGCTTTCAAGGTTTACAAGGTCATAGTCATCTCCAGTATTCTTTGCCTAAAGGCAGGAAAGGACAAAGGGCCATATTCCCTGACTACCTGTCAGTCTCAGGTGGGGAAGGAAGCCTGGTGCCTTTTCCCCATCCCAAGGCTTCCAGCATGTCTCTCTCACTCAAGCAAAGCCAAGCAGGGAAATGAAAACAGCCTGGCAGGATTGAATGCAGAATTCATCCTAACTTAGCAGCCAATCAGAAAATTCCTCCTCTTCACGTGCTGAGCTGATTGAAACCATACCTACCCATACCCAGGTTCTTGAGTTGATTGCCTTAGGCAGAGTGTGCTCTAGGTGCTCGTAATGACTGAGCATTCATTGACCAATCTCAGTCACCTGTTACATCAGACTAGCTTTTGCTTAACAGTCGCATTACTGAGACACTATTCTTCCTTTTGCAAACACAGATACCTTTTTTCAAGGCACTTACTCCACTAACTTCCCGCTCTCTTTTAGTAGAGGACCCAGCTTATAGTTCACCTAGAAAATAGAGACCAGCTATGGTGAGCTCTCTCTTCTCCCCCAACCCCCTCAAGGTCAGCTTCCATTTTCTCCTCCTTCATCTTCCCCAGACAAAAGAAGTGACCTTTTCCTTGCCCAGGACTTGCTGATGCCCTGACCTGCCCCCGGGAGCTTTTCCCTTGCATCAACACTTCCTCCTCCAATATTCAATGTCTTTTTTTTTTTAATCTCCATCTCTATCACTGCTGCCAACAAATATGCCTAGCTCTCCGTAATCCTTAAAATAACAATAACAACCAAATCTCACTTGACACTGTCCTTTTTATCTCCTCCTTTTCATAACCAACTTCTGGACCTATCTCTATGTGCTGGTTGTCTCCATGTTCTTCCCCTAAACTCACTTCTCAACCCCTTACAAACTGGCTTCTGACCCCACCGGTCAACTGGCACGCTGGGTAGGGGATTGAATTTGGTGTGAGGAAGATGGGCTGGACTCTCACCTCTGAGGATTACTAGCTATATCACTTTGGGCAAGTGATTCACCCTCTCTGAGCCTAAGTATCCTCATTTAAAAGAATAAACATGTATAATAACTATAGTTCTTATCTCAAATGATTGTTGATTAAAGTGAATTCATGTATGTAAAGCTCTTTGCAAACCTTAAAGCTTCCAAAGTGCCAGGTATTTATTATTGTTATTTCTTAATGCTAAGCCCACTGGCCTTTTTGTCAGTCTTCATTTTTGTTTACCTGCCTGTAGCTTTGGCTGCCCAGTCTTCCAGGATACTTTTTCCTCTTTGAATTTTCATGATATGCCTCTTTCCTCATTCTCCTCCTACCAGACTAACCATTCTTTTTTCTGACTCTCTGTAAGATCATTATCAGTGTCCCACCCCATCTGTGGGCGTATTGCCTTGGGCCCTTTTCTTTCAGTCATGATCTCAACCGTACATGTGGTTTGATTGATTCAATTTTCTTGTCTCTATGGAGAAGACTCCCCTATCCAGCTCTTTCCTTTTTTTTTTCTTCCCTGAGCATCCCCACCTGGATGTCCCATGGGCATTTTAGATTCAACATGTCCAACATGGAACTCATCATCTTTTCCCTGAAACCTTCCCCTCTTCTTGATTTTCCCACTTCTGTTGAGATTACTGCCTTCC